AAACCTAGAACAAGTTGTTGTCATTGGCTAATATATGGATCTTCGAATAGGATTTATTGCAAAACCAAGTGGTTTTTTTTTTATTATATTTATTACTAGGGAGTGGAATTCTAAAAATTGAAAATGTCCTCTTGCACATGCTAGGCAAGTATAATACCACTGAGCCACATTCTCAGCAGAGTTTTGTTTTTTTCCTGCAGCACTGACAGTCTTCCTATTTGGCATAAGTTAGACCCTATAGTGTAGAGTTTAAGTAGTTAAAGGAAGCTTATCTGACCCACTTCAGCCAAAGAATTTCAGAGAAAAGAACTGCCCTGCAGCTGGAGATAGAGCTTCATGGTACACGATAGTTTATGAAGTATAATTCACTCTCATTCTGTATCTCCATGAGGCCAGGAAGGCAAGTGTTATATAAGACTATTGCTGTAGAGATGAAGAAACTGAGGCTGAGGTAAAGGAAATGACTAATTTGTTCAAGGCTCCACAGTTATCTGGGAGCCATCTGATACAATGAGAAAAAAAAAAAAAAAAAAAAAAACTTGGGACTTTGGATCACAGAGCTAAGTTTGTGTCCTGGCTCCCATGCTCTAAATGACTGTGTGAGGTTAGATTACTTTTAACAGTCCTGAGTTTGGTATCTTTGTAAAATAGAAGTCCTATAAGTAGGTTGTTAGGAGGATCAAGTAACGTGGTACCATGCCATCTGTAAAGACTTCTACCATATGGAGGCGTTTAATTGAGGATCAAGATAAGCAGGTGAGCTCAATAGGTCAGATTCAGGTATCTGGTGCTCTTGATCATATGCCACACCTTGTTTTGGACACTAACTCATTCATAATCCTTTTCCGGTGTCAGGGCCCCTCTTCCCTTGCCAGCCCGGAAGCTACTCTCCCTCTCCATTCCTTTGAGGGCTGACTTACTGATTGCTAGGTGATAACCGCCTCCCTAGAGAGCCTGTTGTACTTTCAGTCTCTTGGGCCTGCGACTGCGGGCCAAAATTTCCTCCTTACCTTCCTGTCTGTGCAGCTCATTGCTGGACTTTAGGGGTCTTAGTCTTGCTGCCACTTCATCCCCTTCTGAATGGACCTGAAGATTTCAGGCCCAGGAATTCTGCTGTGAAAAGCCAGGACCCAAATAATACAGTGGACACAACTAATGACCCTTGTTAGGATACAAGAAAATAGATTTCATTCTGAAGTTTTCCTGTATGTGTGTATTTTATACTTGGCTCACAATCATCCCCATTTCCCCTTCACCCCTCCTCTCTTCACATTGCCCTCCCTCTTCCCAAGTAGTTCCCCTTCTGCTTTTCTCCCCACCTTCTCTCTCTTCCTCCTTCCCTCCCTTCCTCTCTCTCTCTCTCTCTCTCTCTCTCTCACACACACACACACATTTAAAAATATCTAAATTTAGATTTCACATAAAATATGAATATCTTTTCCTCTATAAACCTATGTCTTTTTGTGTTTTGAGACAGGTTTTTATTATGTATCTCTGGTAGTCCTAGAACTCACTAGGTAGACCAGGTTGGTCTCAAGCTTGCATAATCCTCCTGCCTCTGCTGCTGGAATGCTAGGGTTATTGGTAACCTTTCCACATCCAGCTTGTTTTACTTCATCTACCTAGTGCCTTTGTGGTAGGCTTTTTTATATATAATTTTTTTTTTTCAAATTGTAATTTATACTCATTCACACAGGGGTTATAAACACAAAAAGGCAGGACGTGGGGAAGGGGATGACACAGGAGCATGGGTGTTCAGGGGGAATACAGATATTTTTCAGAACAGGGTTTCGGCTGGGTGAGGGTTCAGGGGACAGGTCACTGTGACTCTGTCTATGATTCACTTGTCCTTATCTAAGTTGATATTATCTGCCAAGGCTACCTATTTACAAGGTCTATGACTACTCAGGCTGGTAAATTGTCACAAAAACTGTGGCAGGCTTTTTAAGATTTATTTTTAATTATGTGTATTTGTGTCTGTCTGTCTGTCAGTATGTTTTTGCATACAATTGTCAGTACCCTCCAAGGTCAGAGGCATGGGCTTCCCTAGAGCTGGAGTGACAGTGTAAAGCTGCCTAGAGTGGGTAGGTGTTGGGAATTGAACTCAGGTCTTCTGCAGAGCAGTACCTGTTCTTAACTGCTGGGCCATCTCTCCAACCCTATCCTAGACTTTCTACCTTCATTTCCTGAAAAGAGAAACTGAGGCCCAGAAGGATAAGTGCCTGGTATTTGGCTGCAGTCCAAGACTCTCTCTAATATCCTAGAGGGCCTTTATGTACATCTGCTACCCACTCTAAGGGACGACTGTCTGACTATCCTGTGGTTGAACACTCACTCATTCAAATCGGATGGAAATCCTGTTTAGTGGGAACGTGAGAAATAACCTCAACCAGTAGTACCATTTCCCTCCCAGCTGGTCCTAGAAGCAGCTGTGGTCTGGGAGAGAGAGAACCAGTGCCAGGGTTTGGGTCCACTGAAGCCCCACAGCACTCCTCACAGCACTCCACACACAGAGAAGCTCCTTCCCTGCCTCCTAACCAGGGGCTGCCCTGCCGTCATGCATAGTGACCTGGATTTTTTGAGGCTTTGGAACAACTATTGAGAGACTAGTGAGAGGAGTCCAAGTTAGTTGATGATCTAACAGATAGATTAGTTAGTAGCAGATCCTTGAACTGAGGAAGAAAAAAGTTGACTAGGTACTATCCTCAGTGCTTTAAAAGTAATAACTAATCCATAAAGTAAGTGCATGCAGTAGGTATTATGTCCGTCCATTTTGCAGGTAAAAATACTGAGGTTTAAAGAAGTACTTTGTCCAGTGTCATTGCTAGAAACACGGATTTGACCTTGACCGTAAGCTGGAACCAGAGCTCATATAATGCTACAGCTTTGCAACATCTTGCTAAGAACCTCTCCTTGTTTGATTTTTTTTTTTTTTTTAAATTTGGGGTGGGAGTTTGATACAGGGTTTCTCTGTGTCTGGCTGTCTTGGAACTTTCAGTAGACCAGGCTGTCCTCAAACCCGCAGAGATCGCCCTTCCTCTGCCTCCCAAGTGCTGGGATTAAAGGTGTGTGCCACCACTGCTCGGCATCTCTCCTTATTTCTGATGTTTGTCTTGACGGGATTCGGGATGACGTCAGGATTTCTCTGTCTTCACCTTTTCTTCTCAGTAGGTACAGGTCTCCTAAATCAAGAATGTCCCTCTCCTCTCTCCACAGGTCACTACTTCCAGTGGGGTCCAGAAGAGGGAGGAGGCACTGCCTCCACAATAGTAACTTTACAACACAATGCAGAGCATCAAGTGTGTGGTGGTGGGCGATGGGGCAGTAGGCAAGACGTGCCTTCTCATCTGCTATACAACTAACGCCTTCCCCAAGGAGTACATCCCCACTGTGTTCGACAATTACAGCGCCCAGAGTGCGGTTGATGGGCGCACCGTGAACCTAAACCTGTGGGACACTGCGGGCCAGGAGGAATATGACCGCCTCCGCACCCTTTCCTACCCTCAGACCAACGTCTTTGTCATCTGTTTCTCCATTGCCAGTCCACCCTCCTATGAGAACGTGAGGCACAAATGGCACCCAGAGGTGTGTCACCACTGCCCTGACGTGCCTATCCTCCTGGTGGGCACCAAGAAGGACCTGAGAGCCCAGCCTGATACCCTACGGCGCCTCAAGGAGCAGGGTCAAGCGCCCATCACACCACAGCAGGGCCAGGCACTGGCCAAGCAGATCCATGCTGTGCGCTACCTCGAGTGCTCAGCACTGCAGCAAGACGGCGTCAAGGAGGTGTTTGCGGAGGCTGTCCGGGCGGTGCTCAACCCAACACCGATAAAGCGTGGGCGGTCCTGCATCCTCTTGTGACCCTGGCACTCAGCTTGGAGGCTATCCCTTGTCCCCCCCACCAATTGTGCCTTGGCGCCTTGTCTGCCCCCAGCTGTGCCTTAAGGACTAATTCTGGCACCCCTTGCCTGGGAACTCCCTGAATGCCTTTTACTCCTTGAGAAGGTACACAGGGAAAGGGGCTTTGGGCCCCACCCCACTCTGCTTGGGAATACCAAGTATTCCATGAGTTCACCTAAGAGGCCAGCCCAGTGCTCTCCTCCGTTTCCCGCTACTGACCAGTTCATCCAGCTTTCCACAAAGTTGTTGCTGCCTGTTGTGATGCCTCCTCTTAAGATAGGGGCCCTAACCTCTCTCTGCCTTAGCTCTTGGAGTAGGCTCTCCAAGATGTTCTCTCCCTCCCCCAAGGGAGGAGCCACAGAATCCTAAGAAGAAAAATGTGCCCTAACCTGCCCCATGTGCCCAGGACTTACGCGCCTGCTGACTGACTCGGGCCCCCTGCTCCTGGGGGCCTTGCCTACCCCCATCAGCATCAATAAAACCTCCTGTCTCTAGTGGCCCGGGCTCCTCCCTGTGTGCTGGGCATTAGCGGGTGGGCATGAGCTAGAGCTCCCCAGAGACTGGGAACCTTTTGTTTCCTCTAAGAGGGGACAGAAGACAGTAGGCTCCATTGTGGTTCTTTACCACCACCCCTCAATTTCCCTAACAAAGCTCTGGAACCCAGCCACAGAAGCCACAGTGGGCTAGGATGCAAAGCTTGAGGGAAAGACTTCCTGGTCTAGGGCAAAGGGGAGGCTTTGAAACCAGCCTGAAGGCAGGTGCACTCAGTCTGACGTCTGAGTTGTCCCTTTAACAGTTCCAAGGGGAGAGGTCTTTACTGACAGGATTAGTCATAGTCAGGTCTCTGCTTCAACTGAAGACTCCTAACTTGTCCAGCTTCCAGGCTGTCGTTTCGGAGACTGTTGAGCCACTTCTATTCACCAAAATGGAGGCTGAGGACTGGCTTAGGAAATGCTAGGTAGCAGGGGTAAGGGAAATACCAGATGAAATAACTGTAGACTGTAGAGCTGCTGTAGATTTCACCTTTCCATTCTGGAGCCCGTTCTTCACAGCAGTTCCCATGTAGAAATGAGTCCCAGGAGTAACATACCTACCTCAGATTGTTGGCAAAAGAAAACAATTTATTGTCCTTTGAAATAAAATATACAAATAAAAGCTGGGGATCTGGGACAGTGGAGAGGACAAAGGAAAACCAAGGAACCCATTCTGGAGGAGGGAAATTACCTCTGACCCCTCCCTTCTTGTCAAAGGAGGGAAAGGTCTTATAAGCCTGTGATTTTAGGGTTAATTATTATTATTATTATTATTATTATTTTCTGAAACAGGGTCTTACTGTATAGCCGTGGTTAGCCTTGAACTCAACAGATATTTTCCTATCTTTGCTGTGTTGGGATTAAAGGCATGTGCCACCATCACTGTGTAGCCCAGATTGGCATGGACCCTGAAGCAGTCCACCCATCTCAGCCTCTAGCATGCTGGGATTACAGACATATTCCAAAGAGCCAGAGGTTTTAGATGGGAAAAAAAAAATATATCCTACATTTGATGCTTCTTCTGGGACAAGTTATCTGTCAAGCACAAAGCACAACACTATTTCCATTGGATGACCTCAGAGACAGAGCCCTTAGAAATCATACAACATACTTCCCCCAGTCACACAGGAACACGATGAGCTGAAGGGGAAGAGGGTACATCTAGAACACCTGTGCAAATTTGTGGAACTACCACTTGGGTATACACACTCTGGGTATGCATGGTAGATTACTAGACACATTTAGTCAGATGAATGACCAGGCAGAAACAGCTATGATCTTCAGGTAGCAGCCATTGCTCTGGACCCTAACCTGGGTGAAAAGTTTCTATATAAAGGTCAAAAACTAGGTAGTCATGAACCTCAGGACTGTTTTTAGCACCAAGTGGTGGAGCTTTCCTGCCAGCTCAGTTTTATAGGACCTTTCAGTGAATGGTGATGCTTCTTGAAGATCCCCATGAGTAGTGGGGAGAAGTCAGCAGTGCTGGGGTCGGCCTTGTCATACCCCTTCCTGCTCTTCTCTCCCAGTCCCCAGATTGAGAAGGGCCCAGAGAGGTCATGGAGATAGGGAAGGCCAGAGTGGTTTCTTGTTTTCCAGCATCAGAGAAAGGGTTAGAATCTCTTTTCCTCAGGCTGAGAGGTTATTAGCAGCTCTTTGTTCCCGAAGTCCCACCAGGCTGTCATGTGGAACGCCATGTTGGTTAGGACAACAGTGTACTCCAGGATGGCAAAGATGGTATACACTGTTATGAGGACACAAGGAACATCATGAACCTCCTGATTTACCCTCTAGTGGCTTCTTAAATAATCACATTGCCAGACAGTGACAGCCAGTGCCCAAGACCGCTGCCCACTACCAAAACCACACCGTTGTTCTGAAGTCACTTATTTACAGATCCTAGCCTGGCCTCACCTCCAGCCTCACAATACATGTTGTGCCGGAAGTAGACAGCCAGCGCCGAGAAGAAGGAGATGAAGTTGATGATGAAGAGCCGCTGTTTCCAGCTGTAGGACTTGCGATCCTAGAGGATAGGCTATCTGATCACTCTGCAGCTTGTTGGGTATATATTGGTGGGCTTCTATCTTAGACTCAGTTCCTAAAGGCTGGGCCTCCCCACCCCCACTAGTTGTCAAGATGGTCTTAGAAGGGGGAGTACAGGCAGGGGCAGCAAAAATGATGAGTAATTAGGGGCTGGGGGACAACAAAGCCAAGGAATAGTGCTTGCCTTTGCCCCTCCCACGTGAATTCCACCCACCAACCCAACCCTTTCAGTTTCTATGTGGCAAAGAAAGGCCACATGTGGCTGAGGTTATTACAAACCTGTCCACTGACATGGTGTTTCTAACACGCTCGGCATGGCTGATACCCTTGATTTTGGCCATTTCCAGCCTCATGCATTCTCCAGGACTACCCAAACGGATGAGTCAACCATTCTCCACTCTCCCAGCCTCAGCCCAAAGCCCCATGTCCTATTAAAAAGTCCTTTGTCACCTGTTATTTCCCACATCCTGAGGACAGATGTCCTTTTCTTCTGGGCCTCCTAGTGCCCAGTAGGGGTAGACCGTACCTCCTGACTTACTGTGTGCTTCTTGGTCAGCCGCCAGAGAATGCAGGTGAGAAGCATGTAACTGAGGGATGCCGCGATAAACACAATGAAAGCATTTTCGTGGATGGCTGGAGAAAGAGAGGAGGATGGACACCACTCTCACCCTTAGGTAGGTAGGATAGAGGGCTGCGCCCGCTTCCCGTTCCCTTCACCCCTCCCTTATCCAGGCACCCACTGAAGTCTTCAGAGGAAGAGACGTAGGTGAGCACGAGCAGCGCGAGGTTCTCCACCACATTGAGACTGAAGTTGAGGCGGCAGAGAAGGCGATAGCCGGGACATGGGGATGCACAGCTGAGGTAGTGGTTCCAATAGGCAAAGGCTGTCAAGAAGCGGGGTGCCGAGTGCAGGCCAATGCAGAAACGCCACACGTAGCGCTGGGGAACCTCCCCACCAATGGCAGAGCTCACTGATGGCAGGTAATTGGGCACCTAGGGAGTTAATCCAGGTGTCTAGGCATCCCCTTTGCTGGTCCAGCCCACCAGGAGAGCCTTCTCCCCATCCATCAAAACCACTCCCTTCTCTTCCAAGTTCTCCTTCTGGTGCCCTCCCAAGCCTTCCACTTCTAGAACCCAGGACTAACATGTTCATTCCCTAGTCTGTCTGGGATTTAGACAAGGGTAAGGTGACTATCTCCATTTTTCTTGAAACTGCACATTTGAGCAGGTTCTCCTGCTGATAGCTGGGGCAGTGCCTGGATAAAGAAGGCTGTGTGGGCATCCCAAGATTCCAGGTTTGAGTCCCAAAGACCAGGATGAGTCACAGACCTTCCGGACTTTCTTTGGAAAGTCCTGCTGAGCTGTTCCTCTCACTGCTTCCGGCTCCACTCATTCCCCTAGGCAGGTGCATCAATGTGTAGAGGATGCTATGAGATCCAGAGGGGAGCCAGGAATTACAGGTAATCCTCAGCCTAACCATGTGATCATGTATAAGGAAGTGGGATCTACCCAGGCAGTAGTGTTGCACACCTTTAATCCCAGCACTCAGGAAGCAGAGACAGCAGACCTCTGAGTTCAAGGACAGCTTGTTCTACAGAGCAAGTTCCAGGACTGCCAGGGTTACACAGAGAAACCCTGTCTCAAAAACAAAAACAAAAAAGAAAGAAAGAAAAAGAAAGGGATCTCCTGATATATTCTAAGAAAACAGCTCTGCTGGGTATGGTGATGTACACTTTTAATCTCAGCAGGGACGAAGGCAGGCAAATCTCTGTGAGTTCTAGGCCAGCCAGGACTACCAAGAAGCCTGTCTCAAAAGAAAGAAAGGAAAATGACCCTGTCCCTGTGTACTTCTTCTAACCATCCTTTTCAAGTGCCTGGAACTCCTCATTCTGTGAGAAGCTGTAGTCTCACTCCTTAGGCTTCATGAAAGACAGGAAGGTAACATTCACAGAGCTGTAAGGACTCGTTATTTGTTTGACAGGCAAGAGGATGGGGGCAAGTGAACAGTGGTTTAGACGGACCTGGCAAACCCAGGGGATAGGATAAGGATCTCTTGCATGACAGTGCTTTGTAAATTTTAACACACATAGACTCATTGTAAAATTGTGTGACATGCAGGTCTGGAAGGTAAGAGTTCCTTGTGTAAAGGATTCCAATACAAGAAGCTGCCAACCCATTACCCACACTTTGTACAGACACTTTCAGACTCTTAACAACAGCCAGGACACCGTAAGAGCCCAGCAACTTAGCAACTCTGCTCTAAGTCTGAAATGTCCAGTCTTTAGGTCTTCAGAAATACTTTTGGAAACTCCATTTCTTTCTTCTAGTGATGCTGAATGAGCCTCTGGACTGTTGGGATAGTGGGTAATGCTGGAGGGAGCTCCCCGGGAATGGGGTAGGCCAGCCAGAGACTTCACAGCCACCAGAGCACTGCCAGAGGAAGCCAAGTGCGGAGTTCTCAGAGAAGCTGCTCTAAAAGTTGGATCTGCATCCCACCTCTGACTTTATAAGCTAGGGGATCTGGAGTAAGGCCTGTCACCTCTCCAAGCCCCAGTGGCCTCATTGGCAATATGATTATAATGTCATCTATCTTATACGGGGATTCATTTAATTTTATTTAATTAATTAAGAGTCTCACTGAGAAGCCCCAGCTGGTCTGGTACTTGCTATGTAGACCAAGTTGGTCTTGAACTCACACAAATTCACCTGAGAGTGCTAGGATTAAAAGCATGTGCCAGTATAGCTGGCTTTGCAGGGTGCAGACCATCTGCAGTGTCAGGCACACAGTGGGTATAAGAATGATGGCTTCCTTGAAAAGCATGAGAAAAGGCTGTGAACCACAGGACTTCTGAGTCTGAGAAAACCACTTACAGGGAAAGGCAGCACCAGACAGTGAATGGGACCTCTTCTCCTGCCTTTACAGCCTCTCTGATGCCCTGAGTGTTTAGAGGGACCTTCCAGGAATATTCATTCTGAAGACAACTTCCCAAGCTCAGCTACTTAGCAGGGAATCGGACCAGTATCTGAAGGCTACTGACTGAGAGCAAAAGAGGGCTAGTGACTGTCAGGCTGCCCTCACGCGCTTCTTTCAGATTAAAGATGAGGCAGGATTTTAAGAGCAGGGACTGCCTCATCCATCAGATACAAATATACACATATCATCAGGTAAATACATATTTCCACTCCTTCTCCAGCAATTAAATCTCCCTAATTCACTAGCTGTGCCAACAACAATCTCTGAAACTACCAGACACCAAATATACACAGTTCACTCCAAATATCCCTGAAAAACCAGAGCTAAAAGCACTGATGGGCAAAGATTCCCTTCTAATAGGGAAGTAGATCAGAAACTCATAGAGGGAAAGTTTCAAGAAATCCCCTAACCAGGGACTGGAAAGATAGCTCAGTAAAATGTTTGCTGTGCAAGCATTAGACCCTGAGTTTGAGCCATAGGTCCCAGGTTTAAAAGAAAAAGAAAAAGCCAGGCACAATGGCATGTACTTATAATCCCAGTGCTAAAGAGGCAAAAATAGGAAGATCCTTGGGGCCCACTGGCTGGCCAGCCTAGCCAAATGAGACTGTCTTAAAAAACAAAGTGGATGGCTCCTGAGATACAGTATCCTAAGGTTATCCTCTAGTGCATACACACACACACACACAGAGACAGACACACACACACACATACACACACAGACAGACACACACACATACACACACACACAGACACACACACAGACACACACACGAACTCTTTATCACTTTATTCCATTAAAGAATAAATCTGGCCTCAGGCAAAAGCCCCCCCACCAACACACACACACACACACACAGACAGACACACACACACATACACACACAGACACACACACACACAGACACACACACACACAGATACACACAGATACACACACACACACACACACACACACATTATAGTAGGCTTATCTACCTTCTTGTCCTCAACTCCTTATCAACCTGACAGGAACTCCAGCTCCTGATGAGCCTAGTTACTCCTCCTCCGGGCTCCACTCTCTTATCTGTGTCCTCACAATCTCTGTCTTGGCACTGGTCTCCAGCAGCATGGGCCACTGTACTAGTATTTACACTGTAGCTGTCTTCAGACACACCAGAAGAGGGCATTGGATCTCATTACAGTTGTGAGCCACCATGTGATTGCTGGGAATTGAACTCAGGACCTCTGGAAGAGCAGTCAGTGCTCTTAACCACTGAGCCATCTCTCCAGCCCCACAGTCCTCTCTTTTTGTTTTGTTGTTTTGTTTTTTCAAGGCAGAGTTTCTCTGTGTAGTCCTGGTAAGCCTAAAACTCACTCTATAGACCAGGCTGGCCTTGAACTCACAAAGATCCACCTGCCTCCTCCTCCCAAGTACTGAGATTAAAGGTGTATGCCACCACCACAAGCCTTGGTTCTTGATCCCTATCCTTTTTCCAGTCAGAAGCTAGAATGAACGTCTAAAGTACAGACCTGATCACAGCTCTTACTGCTAAAATCTTTCCTCAGCTGTTAGCCTGGCATTCACAATGATCCTCTCTCACCTCCACACAGTCCAGCAACAAAGTTCTCTCCTTCAGGAAAGGTGTCTTCAGTATCTAAGCTAGGTTAAATGTCTCCTCTGAGCCCTACAGTCCCTGAATTCCCTTTTATCACAATAAGAATCCCAATTAAGGGTCAGGAGATGGCTCAGCAGTTCGGAACACTTGCTGCTCTTCCAAAAGACACCAGTTAGGTTCCCAGCACCCACCTCAGGCAGCTCACAGCTACCTGTTACTCTAGTTCCAAAGGATCTGATGCCTTCTTCTGGCTTCACATGGTAGCTGCCCTCATGTGCACATACACACAGATATAAATAAATAAATAAATAAATAAATAAATAAATAAATAAATAAATAAAACGCACTATATTATAACTGTCCCCAAGGACCGTCTCGTGTGTGAGTTAGATGCTATCTGACATACAGCTTGTACCTTTTCTGAGGCCTCAGAAAAGACCTAGTAGAGCTCTGGGAAGCAGGAAGTCTACCCTTGTTTCTAGCTGGCCTGAGTGGACACGGGTTGTGGGGCCTAAGACTGCCAGTAGAGAAACAAAACTTGAAGATTGCAGAACAGAGATCCAATTAGGGATCCCCTAATCTGAGATAAAACTACTTGTTACTTATCCTGGCTCCTGGCCTCTTATACATCCTTAGTCTCTCTATTCCTCTAATCTAGTTTTTCTTTAGCATCTTCTTCCTCCTTCTCCTGACCAATCCTCCCCAGCTGCAGCTGCTCCCTTTCCCCTGACTCCCTCACACTCACCACACTCTGCTCCAATTCCTCTGTAGTTTCTGTAATTCTCTTCCAACCTAGAGTCCCTGCCTCTCATTTCTCCATTCACCCTGACCTGCCTCAGCCCCAACCCTTTGTCACTTTCCTTTCACTGACCCTCCACCTCTCACCTACTTGCTGATTCTTCCCTTGCCACTACCTCATAACCTGCCCTGCCCCTACCCCTGCCCCTGCCCCTGCCCCTCCCCCAGGTGCTGGGATGCTGGAACTCACCCCACAGTCAGTGGCCACCGTGTACTCAAAGTGGAACACCAGAGACCAGATGATGCAGAAGAAGAAGCCAAACAGGGGAAAAGTGATGACCCACCAGACAAAGGCTGTGAAGCGGAGCCGGAACACGGTCCCATCGGGGTCCAAGGCCGCAGAGAACATCCTGTAAGGAGTGGTCCAAGCAAGGCAAGGGGCACAACTTGGGGCCTGGTAGGATACCTGGGCCTGGGGAAGTAGAGCCTTTTCCAGAGCTGGCACAAGGAAAGCCAGAAGGTAAATGGAAGGAAGGGCAGAAAAGGAAGAAGATGAAGAGAGATGGGACAGAAGGGACAGAGACAGGCAGGGACAGCTCTCAGGAACTATGGCACACTGATACTCCAGTTCCACCTTTTAAAGAGCCTAAACAATAGAGGATGCCAGGGGCCTGAACACTGGAACTGTGAGGGCGTCATTTCACAATCACCATCCTCACAGCAACTGAGAAGGTTCAGAAGTAGAAAAGTTATTATTCCCATCACACACGAGAAGAGACAAAGGCACAGAACTATACCAGAACCAAACGCCTGGACTACCGCCTCTTGCTACCTAGCAGTTTAAGGCTCTAAATTAGGGACCTTTGGCTCAGACTAGCTAAGACCTCCCACGGACTCTTGTCTGATCACATTCCTCCTTCTTACCCATGTTCAACTAGGAACAATGACAATGTCCTAGAACCCATTTCGACAGAACTACAAGTTACCAACCATTCCACCCCCAGGCTCTAAATGAGCCAAGCCACAGGTCAGCAGCACTCTGATTCTGTGGAACCTAAATGTCCATTCCTTTCCCCTCTGAGAAGACTATATCTGATCCAATTAAAAACTGGGAGGAATATGAGGGTCTTGAGAACCTTCTCCCTTCAGCTTCAGCTCAGTATACTGAGTCAAACCCAAGAAGCCTCTATCCAGGTTAAATACACACCAAGAAGCTGGCCTTTCTCACTCCTTCCCTCCTGGCACAGAAGTAAGTTAGCCTCCCCTCCCCCATAGTCCCTATGACCCTGATCACCATGGCTATTCCAAGGCTTCCTTTAGGGGCAAGCTGAGGCAGAGATCTAGCTTTGGAATAAAAGGCCTAGGACCAAATCTTTCCTTGGATTCCATACTTCCTCCCATTAAGGAGGAAGTAGAACCCAGTCCACCAGACTAGCTTTTCATCAGGAATCCGGTGGAATGGGAGAGTGATCAAGAAATACTTACACTGGGTGCTACAGAATCCTGGGATGGGATTGAGGACTGCAGCCAGACTGAAACTGCTCCGGACCAGAGGGTCCCACCCCCAGGTCCTCAGGGCCTGCCCTCCGCCCACAAAGCCAAGTTCTCCATGCCTGCCCAGGCACACAGCCTTCTCAGAATCAACAAGGCCACCTCATAAATCCCAGAACACTGTGCAACTGTAAGAAGTGATAGTGACTAAGGTCAGCCCACTAAGCCTCTTTGCCAAGCATGGAGGTGGAGATCTTTCTAAATATTGTGTCCAGGGGAGACAAGTAGGTTTCTAGAAAGGGAAAAAGAGAAAGAAAAAAAGGGATCTGGCTCATTTTTTATTGGAACATAACTGGGTATGTTTTTAGATGCACTAAGAGATCTGACTAGCCTGTGTCAAGAGAATGAAGTGGCTGGTGAGACGGCTGAAGGGTAAAAGCCCTTGTCATGCACCCTCATGGTCTGAATGAGATCCCCAGAACCCATGGAAAGGCGGAAGAAGAAAACTGAGTCCACAAAGCTGCCCTCTGACTGCCACATATGTGCCATGGCAGATGCAGGAATGAGTGCGTGTGCTTTCATACACAGACACACACACAGAGAGTAAATAAAATAGAATCAGATTCAAAAGAGTTCTTGACAGGACTGAATATGGGCTACCAGTATCCAGCCAGTATCCATACAGAAATAGCTAATGGTGGCTTGGGCTGCATCAACAGCAGTTTGACAACAATAGGAATAAATAGTATTGCTTGTGCCTGTATTGCCCAGGCCAGCTAAAGTCCAATTATCCAGATCTGGGCCCAATAAAGACAACACAGTTAACAACTGGATCCAGTCCAAGGACATAGGGTTGTCAGGAGCCTAGAGACCCTATCCTGGAAGGTCGCCTGCAAAAATAAGATCTACACTCCTCAGATGGACTTAGGGGTCTCCATTACTGTCTTCTCATTTATGCAGGACTGATGTAAAACCAGGAGGAGAGCATAATTACATGCCTGTCACAACAGAGCCAAGACCAGGGCAGGGATTGGAAAGAAAATCTATGTTGGCTGAGTACAGTAGTGTATGTCTTTCATCCTAGCACTTGGGAGGCTGAGACAGGTGGATTTCTGTGAGTTTGAGCCCACCCTGTTCTATATAACAAGTTGTAGACCAACCAGAACTATATAGTGAGACTTTGTCTCAAACAGTGCCCCCCCCCCAATCTAAGCTGCTGCTCCTTCTTTTTTTTTTAAAGTGTGTTCATTGTTAGTTACTAAACCTCCTTAAAACAGGTGACTTGAAGGAGGGAGTTCCCTGTCACTTGGGATGTAAAAGTAAATGTGATGTCATTAGTGAGTGACGTGTTAAGCTGGCTTACTTACTTTATGCCTAGGGCTGGCCCTTCCTGGGATATTCTGGGTAGGAAACTCAAAGCATAAATAAAAGCTTCAATTGTATCTAACAGAAGAATCCCAGGGAGTGGGGGTGAAATATTCCTAGGGGCACTAGGCCATCAACTAACCTATGCTTTAGTTCCCTAACTAGCATACCAAGAGTGGGTAGTAGGTATCAGGTAGGCTGAGGTCATGGGTCCCGTTAGCCCTCAGGGCCAGCCTGAAGGGTAGAGCAAACAATGTACTGTTTAACTTACAAGCTGTAAAAACTTTGTATTTTTGTTTGGACTATCTTCCTTTCCCAAGGCTCTAGACTGGGAAGTTGTATTTATTTACTCAACACATACTTTTTGACTCAGTGCAGTGTTTGTTCTCATGCTCCAAGATGCCAGTATGGTGAGGAAGACAGATACAGATATGGTACGAGAGAAATGTAAGCAGTGACACCAAGAACAGTAGGCACTTATAAGAAGGAGGTAAGCTTGACTCAAAGAGCCAGGCAAGGTGTTCCAGATGAGGAAACACCTGAGAAGGGATTTTCAGGATGGGCAGGAGTTAGGTAATGGGAACACATGGTGCATTATCTGAAGTCAGCACTAAGGCAGGAAATGATCTTAGATCACCTAGCTCAGCGGCTCTCAACTTTCCTAAAGCTGTAACCCTTTAATATAGTTCCTTATGGTGTAGTGACCTCCAAACATAGAATTATTTTGTTGCTACTTCATAACTGATTTTGTTACTTTATAAATCATAATGTAAATATCTGATATGCAGGATATCTGCTATGTGACCCCCCTTCCCATGGTTGAGAACTGCTAACCTTGCTACTCTCTTTTCTCCCAGTCCTGTTCCTTCCATTTATTTTTACTTATTTATTTGAGGGTATGGGTATAGGCTTTCATTGTTTTTTTTGTTTTGTTTTGTTTTTTTTGTTTTTCGAGACAGGGCTTCTCTGTGTAGCCCTGGCTGTCCTGGAACTCACTCTGTAGACCAGGCTGGCCTCAAACTCAGAAATCCGAGTATCTCTGCCTCCCAAGTGCTGGGATTAAAGGCGTGCGCCACCACCGCCCGGCTGACTTTCATTCTTTAGCCCAGGTGGACCTTGATTTCAAGTGAGTCCTCCTGCTTCAGTCTCCCCGCTGCTGGGATTATATGCACAAGCTACCACCTCTGGTTTTTCTATCCCCTCTGTTATCTCTCATCAAGTATTATGTCTACAAATTAGAAAGAAAACTTTCAAGTCATATTGAACAAAAGAAGAACACCATCACCCCAAACTCCCAGACATAATCCTCTGCCAGACTTAGACTTCCTCTGGAGCAAATGGTCTTTTACAGGAGGTGAGGGTCATCTAAAGGGTCTTCAAAGCTCTCTCTAAGGCTAGCTAAGCTCCATGTCCAGGCTCTCCCTCACCTAGGGCCCTGCCTCTTTAACTCCTGATACACCTCCTAACCTTATAATCTCTTATTCTTTCTCATTCTCTTCCTCATCCTGTTTTGGACCCTTTGTACTCCCCAACCCAACTTCCCATATTGTCTCTACTTGGAGCTCTACCCTAGTCTTAGAAAGGAGCAGGGTAGGCACCATCAACCTCTCTATAGACATAGAAACTGGCACTCTCTGGGTCTCAGGTAGCACTGTCGATCAGCAAAGGAGGACCATAACAGACATCAACCCAAGTATTACCACATTTATTCTCATACTCTGTGGAGAGACTCAAATCTCTTTGCATAGCTCAAGCACCCTCAGAGGGCATGGGACCCACCCTAGAAAACATACTCATGCACATAACTAGGTCTCCAGTTTTTCTCACACATACAACTGTTCTTGAGGCCATTAAATATAGACATGTTCCTCACATACATGCACAAAATTGCATTCCCACAGACACAGGCATAAGCCCAAAGTGACATACTGTGAAACTTACAATGTCCTCTATCCCAGTCTCATCCTCCTCCTCCTCCTCCCTCCTCTAGGAAACCCTGGAGCTCCTGAATCTGTTCCTCTATGAAGCAGTAATTGGATTTTGGGTTTTTATTTCTTTGTTTATTTTTAAGGCAAGGTCTTTCTATATAACCCTGCCTGGCCTGGAACTCACTATGAAGATCCGGTTGACCTCAGAGTTCCACCTGCCTCTAACTTCCTAGTGCTGGGATTAAAGACATGAACCTCTATACCTGGCCAAGGTTCTGGGTTTGGGGGCTGCCCAACTTTAGTAACCTCAGTTCCTATAACTTTCATAGAAAGTAAAAGGAAACTAATTCATGAGACTTCAATTTACAAACAACCCATCACCACCCAGTAGCCCAGTACATTTGATGGAGCCTACAGGAGAACTGTCTAACTCTGTTAATATGAGCCACCAGTACCCTCCAAGCCCTACCCCACAGTGTGTAGCTGTTGTCTCCTTGAAGTGAAAGAGCAGGGACCACAGGATGCAGAAGAAGAAGGCGACAAGTGGACAGCAGACCGTGATCAGTGCCACCATAGTGAAGCGGAGCCGGACTAGGGTCCCATCCCGGTCCAGTGTCAGTGGGACCTGGTACATCTTGTCAGACCTAAGGATGGAAGGTGTGTTGTCACGGCCCCAGGCAGCAGGGCTGAGGGCACAGTGATAATGCTAGCACTCATGCTCAATCCAAAATTTAGCGGAGGAAGTCTAAGGAGACTCCTAAACTTTGGCAGCTCCTTTCCCAGATGAAGACTCAGAATCCCAAGGCAACACTCAACTTCAGTTTCTGAAGGAAGACAATGAATTCCATCTATATTAAGATAAAACTTGAAACAGATTAGAAGGCCTTCTCAACTCTCTTCCAGTCTAGAAAGGCCTTGTACTGCAGTAGTTAGTTTATCTAGTCTTTCACTGATTAAAGAACCAAACTTAAAACCAACTGGTAGACAGACTGGCCTGTGCCTACCTGCCCACCCCAAAGCCTCTGCCCAGCCTCTTAGTTCTCACTGTTTTACTCACAGTGCAGGGCTCTGCTGCACCTTCAGGCCCATCCCAGGCTCTGGGATTGCAGGCATAGCAATCTAGTGCAGTGGGGACTCCATAGAAACTGATAGAACCTCCATCCCATGATTGTCCCTGTCTGCAGCCTCACGTGCTCTAAGGGTGAAAGACTTTGCAGAATCAGGCCTAGTGATAGCCTGGGTTTGCTATATGCAGGTCAGAGCTGCTTGATCAGCTTCTGGTGGGTTCCCAATACCCAGTGCCTCCTGAGATGAGGTAAAGGCTCTTGAAACTGATTTTTCCCTCCTACAAGAGTCTGCTGGGCAGTGGTAGTGCATGCCTTTAATCCTAGCACTTGGGAGGCAGAGGCGGGTATATCTGTGTGAGTTTGAAGTCAGCTTGATCTACAGAGCAATTACTAGGATAGCCAGGGCTACACAGAAAAACCCTGTCTCAAGAAACCAGAGAGAGAAATAAAGAGAGAATGAGATGAAAGAGAGAGATAGAAAGAGAGAGTGTGTTTCTAAAGTCAGGCACTACAACAGCTAAGTAATAGCCCTAGCCCAACCCCTCTCGGTGTGTAGGAGTATAAAAGAAAAGGTAAAACAGGATCAGCAGTAAGGAAACATAGGGTCCACAAAGAGTCATATATTTCAATTCTGATCTTCTTGATCCCTTTCTAAACTCTAGTCAGGAAGATCAGATTAGAACTGGAGTGAGCAAAAGAGAAAAGAAAACAAATACCACATATCTATACCCATGAGCCAATCTTCTTGTTCCCATTGTAAAAATGGAGAAACCAAGAGTCAGAGAGTCTCTTCCTCAAAGTTGAACCCGGGGAACAGTCATTCTCAGAGTTTAGGCTTCTTAGTGCCAAACTATAACTGGCTCCAGATACATATAAACCGGCCTTTCTGGTCTCAAACCATGACTCTTTCTGGCCCCACCCTTAAATAGAACTCTGATCTCAGGCTAGCCTCCTAGCATTCCAGAAACAGGTGGACACACCTCCACATTTTCCTCTGCCTTTCCGCCTACCTTTCTGCCAGGACAGATGGAGCAGCCTGACCCAAGTTCTCAAGTTCTTCCTCCCCTTTGGGGCAATAAATATTTGGTCAAGCATCTCCCTGGGAAGTTGGAAGTGGCACTGATGACCTTCCCAGATCCTACCCACTCTCTGGATAGGGCCCTAGACAAGAGTACTGTCCCCACTCAGACCACACCTAGACTCTATTTGAAGTAGATTTAACCCAATCCTCCTCCTAATACTCCTCCCCGAAGGCAGCCGCTCTGTATCCCCTGGGAACCACTGGGCTCCTCTAACTGAGGTCGGGGCCTTAAGCTTGAACAGACCTTACCCCAATCAGGGTCAGTGAGGTGGTTCAAGGACAGTGTCAGAAACAAAAAAAAGATAGTTGGTTCCACTTCTTGGCAGTGTGCCTGGTCTCCGTTTTACTTGTGTATGACCTTGAAGAAGTCACCTAACCATCCTGGGCCTGTTTTAAATTGTACAAGAGGAAGTCACATGGTTCAGATTACTCCAGAGGCCCCTCTACCATGGCCATTGCTCTCTATCTCAGTTTGAAGAGCTCACTACCTTCAGCTCTGCTCCTAGGCAGCCTTAACTTCTTTACTGGCACTAGCTGATTTATTTTAGTTGTGTGTGCATGTGTTTGTGTACACGCTTCCAGAGAAAGGCTCTTACTGTGTAGCCCAGGCTTGCTGGAGACTCCCAATACTTCTGTCTCTGCCTCCCTGTTGCTGAGATTACAGGGCTCTGAAAACTGCTTTTGTAGAGTATCACCACTTCATATCCGAAGTGCCTAAAGTCTCACTACCACACTCCTGTCAGAATCTACATTCTGAGCTCAATACTCGATATACAAACTCTTAGTTCTGTTTATTTTAGGAATAGGTGCAGTTTTCTGGGTTTCCATTTCACAGAAAAGGAAACTGAGTCCTAGGGTAGTTAAAAAAACAAAACAAAACAAAACAAAAAAAACCCCACTTACTCAAAGCCACAAGCTAGTAACTGGCAGAGCTGAGATTCAAAACTAGTCTGAGGTTCCAAGGCTCCCCCACGCCTCCATCCACAGTGCCTGGAGGGATCTTGAGCAGAAGGCCCTGCGGAATAAATTAGGCAGTCTTTAGACCCAGCACACCTAGCCCCTGCCACCAAGTGGGCAAAGGCAAGACGTCGGTTTAGCATCTGGATGCCTGCAGTTCCCGGGGTTCTGAGTGTGTGCACAAGGCGGGCAGGAATCTAGACCGCAGGCCTGCGGAGGCCAGACCTCGTGGCGGGGCTCCCGGAGTGGCGTTGCCCTGTAGCCCGAACTGGCCACTCCCTCCTTACTCACCCAAGTAGTGGTGGCTAGGGGGGTCGTACCCCGTAGCCAGGGGCTCGGAACCGGGAGCCCCAGCCCGGCCCGGAGGCGAGTGGAAGGGGGCGGGTCGCAGCAGCAACGGCGTGAGGCGGGGCCAGCGCTCTGGGGTGGGTCTTAAAGAGGAAACTGGGCCCGTTTCTACACTGGCTCCTCCCCGTTTTGGGGGACCGGGACTCCGGGCTTTCTTTATAATCTGGCGTTTCCCGAAGCCAAGTACTCCCCAGGTCGGCTCTGTCCCAGCTATTTCTGAGAACGTGGGTGCAGTCAGGGGACCCTGGACACATGAGTTTGACATGTTGGATAAGTCACTTGTCATCTTACCTCTGGCTGCATGCCATCACCTGTTGAAAGAAGGTAAAATTCAGTGGGACCCAAATTCTTTCATTACCTGACCCGATTCTCCAGTCCTATACGCTCATTTTAATCAAATTATCCAGTTTTGCACTTCTGAAACATTAAGCCAATTTTGCCCCAGCCTTGGCTATTTTTTCTTAAACTTGTTTCCCTATGGCCAGCTACAGCATCCAACAAAAGGAGCTAAAAAAATAAAAATAAAAAAATAAAATAAAAATAAACCAAAAGCCACATTGCAGATAGATCCTCTAAGCCCATTCCAGAAACTCAGGGCCAAAGCTGTTCTCACCTTTTACCAGAAGATGGCGCCCTATCCAGTCCGACATCGCTGATGAGGGTGAGGGTGGGGCTTGGGGTGGGGGTAGGGCTGGGGTGTGGGTGTGGGTGGGAGTGGAGTGGTTGGTGAGTTCAGCCAGACACAGCTTTAGGGCTCTTCACAAAAAAAAAAAAAGAACAGGAAGAAGAGGAGAAACCAGGTCCCGGTGTTCTTTTCCCATTTTGGCCTGGTCTAGACAGATAGTCCTGGAAAAGACTATCCTACCCAAAATCGGAAGGAGGGTGATGGGACCAACAATTTCTCCTGTAGACATCTTGGATTGCCAGGACCAACTGCAGCAGACGTGGGACTACTGAGCCAGACAGTTATCACCGCTTAAATTGTACTTAAATTCTCACAGTAATAATCACACATTCTGATAATCTGTATATCCTAGGCACATTGCTACTTTGCATTTAACTCATTTAATTCTCATAAAAATAAAGTGGATCTTTTTTTTTTCCTCTCTCTCTACTGAGTCTCCAATGGGTGAGATGGCTTGTTCAGTGAGACCTCTGGGTTGATGAGATAGCTCAGTGGCTAATGGTACTTGCTACCAAGGCCTTTAACCCGAGTTCAATCCTTGGAAATAGCAGAGTGGAAAGAGAGAACTGATTTCCACAAGTTGTCCTCTAATCTCCAACAGCATTCACACATTGCAAAGTAAAAAATAGTATCCTCCTCCTCTTCCTCAAAAAGGTAGGCAAGAATCTCATGTAGCCCACACTGGCCTCAAGCCTGCTATGTAGCCAAGGATGACTACCTCTTCTTCTACTTCCACTTCTGAGTATAGGACTGACTACAAGTGCGTATCACCAATCCATGGTTTGTGGATGGCTGGGAATCAAAGCTTGGTGGATGCTGGGCAAGCAGTCAACCAACTAAGCTAAGTTCCTCACCAAGATAGAATTAATATCCTCACTTTACCAAGTAGAAAACTCTCCAAAGAAGGCATCTTACTCATGTGCCCGAAGTCATTCCAATAATCACTATATAGAGTCAACCCCACAGGATAGCTATAGTTGCCACACTGGAGAACGGAAAACAGATGTTCAAACGTGCTGATTAACTGGCAAGAGCTCTTTTCCCTGGATTTAGTCTTGTTGGTTTGCTCATCCTAGGTCCTCTCTGTGACAGGTACTGGGCTGAGTAATGACGGAGGTGAGCCAGACAGATGCATTTTTAACCCACTCTCTGAAGCTCCAGGTCTAGAGAAAAAGTGGATTACTATAAAACACTATTTTTCTTTTTCTTTCTTTCAATCTGTAGTTTTTTGCCTCCAATACAGGGTTTCTTTGTACATTAGCCTTGGCTGACCTGGAACTTGCTCTAAAAGATAGAACTGGCCTAGAACTCACAGAGCTCTGCCTTCCCTGTCTCCCGTGTACTAGGACTAAAGGCATGCTCCACCACTTGCCCAATTTGTGATTTTTTAATTGTATTATTGGTGGAAGGGAAGGGCCCATGTGTGGAGATCACAGGATATTCTTAGAGAGTCAGCTCTCTTCCTTCACTGTATGGGTCCCTGGGATCAAACTCATACTGTTAAGCTTGCCAGCATATGCCTTTAACCTACACTGAGCTGTCTTACCAATCCCCTTTTCTTTCTTCCTTCCTTCCTTCCTCCCTTCCTTCCTTCCTTCCTTCCTTCCTTTTTTTCCTTCTTTCTTTCTTTTTCTGAAAACAGGGTCTCAAGCAGTCTTTGAACTCACTATGTAGTCCAGAATGGCCTTGATCTCAAAGCAAGTGTGTGTGGATTACAGGTGTGCACCACCAAGCTCACTAAAGTTACACTTTTAAAAAAATTTTGTGTGTATATGATTGTGTGTATGTGTGTGTGTCCTGCACATGCCACAGTCTATATGTGGAGGCTAGAGCAAGGCTCTCAGAATTTAGTTCTCTATTACTCCCATGGTTATGCTTCTTCCAGGGATGAGACTCTGGTTATCAGGTAAGTTTTTTTTACCAGATGAGCCTTCGCAGCCCCAGAAGCTACTTTTCTTGACTGAACTCTTTACCATATTCTTAAGGTTTTTAGAGCAAACAAACTGGTAAAATTTTACTAAAATGACCATGTCTACCCAGTCTCAGGTTTGTTTCCTGTCTTGGGGTTTTGTGTCCTCCAGCTCCATCCCATCCTCACGCTTGCTCTCTATGCAGACTCCTCACTGTCCCTGTGGCCCTATGTGCTGCGGTTGGCTAGTCTCTAAACTACTCCCAGTGTCTGGCTTGAGGGTTTCTGATCTTGCATTTGATTCCCTTGGGATCTGTACAGTATGGAGGACCATTCATCTCATAGTTCCGTGTCTGTTCCTTTGTCTGTAAAATGGCTTAAGGGATATCAAAGGGTACCTTGAGAACTGAAGTAAGACACAGTGACAGCTGAGCAGAAGGTACTCAATATGTGAAGGCTGTTGCAACCAGACATACAAGCTATAGTTGGAACTCACCCTAAGCCTTCTCTGAACCCAGCAGTGGATGATGCCCTCTAGGCAAATTTCTGTCCATTTGGTTTATGTAAGGAGAAGCAGGAAGAGTGTGTTCTTACAACATCCCAGAGACCTATAAATATTCTTCCATTTGACCCTCTTAATAAACTAGATGGATAAATTTGGTGAAAACTATCATACAGATAAAAGTGATTTAACAGGTGTGGTGCCAGTGGCCTGTAATTTCAGCGGTAGGGAGGTAGAGGCAGGAGGACCAGGAATTCAAGGTCATCCTTGGTTATGTGGCAAATTTAAAGCCAGCCTTGATTGTTGGGCCTCAAAAGGGAAATAAAAGGGAGAAGGGAGGGGAATATGTGTGTCAAGATGGCAAGGTACTTGCTGTCAAATATGACCACCTCAGTCTGTGGTAGAGAGATATGGAGATAACCAATCATAAACTAACTGTTTTCTTACCTCCACACATGAGTTGGGCACATGTATGTGTGTGCGCACACACACCAACACACATCAATAAATAAATGTTAAATTTTTTTAAAAAATCATTAGAAAATGAATGAGCAATTAAGCTGCCAGTCTCCCCTCAAAAAGCAGGCACTCAGTGCTTCCTAAATTGGCATTTGTTCAATGTCCAAGTAGCTGTTGGGGTTGATATTTTCTGGTATCTCTTGTTCTCCTGTGGATTTGCTTATATCTGGAAATACCCTAGACAGGCAGTGCCTTAAATAGCATCACTGATGTCCAGTTTTATCCACAGTTATCATCCAATTTTCGTATGCACACCCTCATACCACACCCTTTCAAACAAACTCTGTTCACAAAGATATTTCAGCACCCAGTAGCATGGGGGCAGTGAATAAGTGGGGGATAGAAAAGAAAATATAGCCTGATGTGTCAAGAACAGCCCCACGGGGCTGAAGAGATGGCTCAGCAGTTAAGAGCACTGTCTGCTCTTTCAGAAAACCCTGGGTTTGATTCCTAGCACCTATGTGGTGACTCATAACTATCTGTAATTCTGGTTCTAGGAAATTTGTCACCCTTATTTGATTTCCTAGGGGACAAAGCATGCACATGGTACACATACATACATACAGGTAAAATATCAATCCACAAAATAAAATAATAAAAAAGAAAAGATTTCCTATAAGAATTCCTATAAGAACTCTTCACTGACTTGATTCCCCACCACCCTCAAAGTTTATCTATAATGAGGCTTTTTTTAAAAAAAAATTTTTTTTTTTTTGAGACAGGGTTTCTCTTTACAGCCCGGGCTGTCCTGGATCTCACTCTGTAGACCAGGCTGGCCTCAAACTCAGAAATCCGCCTGCCGCCAGGTGGTGGTAGCACACGCCTTTAATCCCAGCAGTCGGGAGGCAGAGGCAGGCGGATTTCTGAGTTTGAGGCTGGCCTGGTCTACACTACAGAGTGAGTTCCAGGACAGCCAGGGCTATACAGAGAAACTGTCTCAAAAAAACAAAACAAAAAAATAAAAATAAAAAACAAAAACAGAAAGATAGAAAGACAGGTTGCAGAGAGAACAAGATAGACACAGGTAAAGACAGAAAGAACCAGAGAATAAGGAGCCAGAAGATTAGAAAATATTGCCAAAGTTAGTATGAAACCAAGCACATCAATTCAGTCAGAAGATGAGAGAGAAGCCAGATTCAGACAGTCATTCTGGAGAGGAATTTGAGTCAGAACAACTGAGTTGAATCAGCCAGCCAGAGCTCAGAAAGAACTATAAAGGGTGGGATTATTCAGCAGCAAGTCTTAGAAGCTGAAAACATTCTAATCCTAAATTAGATTGTACAGAGGCTAGAAGCTTCCAGGACTAGGCCTAGGTTAGCAGACTAAGGCAATAAGCCTACCAGACTCCAATTACATCAGGAGAATATATATATGTGTGTATATATGTGTATATATACACACACATATATATTCTCTCTTTAAGAT